TCCTGAGTCGTGATGTAGAGCATGGCGTGTCACTGTTACCATCCTGAGTCGTGATGTAGAGCATGGTGTGTCACTGTTACCATCCTGAGTCGTGATGTAGAGCATGGTGTGTCACTGTTACCATCCTGAGTCGTGATGTAGAGCGTGGTGTGTCACTGTTACCATCCTGAGTCGTGATGTAGAGCATGGTGTGTCACTGTTACCGTCCTGAGTCGTGATGTAGAGCATGGTGTGTCACTGTTACCATCCTGAGTCGTGATGTAGAGCATGGTGTGTCACTGTTACCGTCCTGAGTTGTGATGTAGAGCATGGTGTGTCACTGTTACCATCCTGAGTTGTGATGTAGAGCATGGTGTGTCACTGTTACCATCCTGAGTCGTGATGTAGAGCATGGTGTGTCACTGTTACCGTCCTGAGTCGTAATGTAGAGCATGGTGTGTCACTGTTACCATCCTGAGTTGTGATGTAGAGCATGGTGTGTCACTGTTACCGTCCTGAGTCGTGATGTAGAGCAAGGAGTGTCACTGTTACCATCCTGAGTCGTGATGTAGAGCATGGTGTGTCACTGTTACCATCCTGAGTCGTGATGTAGAGCATGGTGTGTCACTGTTACCATCCTGAGTCGTGATGTAGAGCATGGTGTGTCACTGTTACCATCCTGAGTTGTGATGTAGAGCATGGTGTGTCACTGTTACCGTCCTGAGTCGTGATGTAGAGCATGGTGTGTCACTGTTACCATCCTGAGTCGTGATGTAGAGCATGGTGTGTCACTGTTACCATCCTGAGTCGTGATGTAGAGCATGGTGTGTCACTGTTACCATCCTGAGTCGTGATGTAGAGCATGGTGTGTCACTGTTACCATCCTGAGTTGTGATGTAGAGCATGGTGTGTCACTGTTACCGTCCTGAGTCGTGATGTAGAGCATGGTGTGTCACTGTTACCGTCCTGAGTTGTGATGTAGAGCATGGTGTGTCACTGTTACCATCCTGAGTCGTGATGTAGAGCATGGTGTGTCACTGTTACCATCCTGAGTCGTGATGTAGAGCATGGTGTGTCACTGTTACCGTCCTGAGTTGTGATGTAGAGCATGGTGTGTCACTGTTACCGTCCTGAGTTGTGATGTAGAGCATGGTGTGTCACTGTTACCGTCCTGAGTTGTGATGTAGAGCATGGTGTGTCACTGTTACCATCCTGAGTTGTGATGTAGAGCATGGTGTGTCACTGTTACCGTCCTGAGTCGTGATGTAGAGCATGGTGTGTCACTGTTACCGTCCTGAGTTGTGATGTAGAGCATGGTGTGTCACTGTTACCATCCTGAGTCGTGATGTAGAGCATGGTGTGTCACTGTTACCATCCTGAGTCGTGATGTAGAGCATGGTGTGTCACTGTTACCGTCCTGAGTCGTGATGTAGAGCATGGTGTGTCACTGTTACCGTCCTGAGTCGTGATGCAGAGCATGGTGTGTCACTGTTACCGTCCTGAGTCGTGATGTAGAGCATGGTGTGTCACTGTTACCGTCCTGAGTCGTGATGTAGAGCATGGTGTGTCACTGTTACCGTCCTGAGTCGTGATGTAGAGCATGGTGTGTCACTGTTACCGTCCTGAGTCGTGATGTAGAGCATGGTGTGTCACTGTTACCGTCCTGAGTCGTGATGTAGAGCATGGTGTGTCACTGTTACCGTCCTGAGTCGTGATGTAGAGCATGGTGTGTCACTGTTACCGTCCTGAGTCGTGATGCAGAGCATGGTGTGTCACTGTTACCGTCCTGAGTCGTGATGTAGAGCATGGTGTGTCACTGTTACCGTCCTGAGTCGTGATGTAGAGCATGGTGTGTCACTGTTACCGTCCTGAGTCGTGATGTAGAGCATGGTGTGTCACTGTTACCGTCCTGAGTCGTGATGTAGAGCATGGTGTGTCACTGTTACCGTCCTGAGTTGTGATGTAGAGCATGGTGTGTCACTGTTACCGTCCTGAGTTGTGATGTAGAGCATGGTGTGTCACTGTTACCATCCTGAGTTGTGATGTAGAGCATGGTGTGTCACTGTTACCGTCCTGAGTTGTGATGTAGAGCATGGTGTGTCACTGTTACCGTCCTGAGTCGTGATGTAGAGCATGGTGTGTCACTGTTACCGTCCTGAGTTGTGATGTAGAGCATGGTGTGTCACTGTTACCGTCCTGAGTCGTGTACCGTCTGATGTTCCACACTTCATGGTGTCCTTAACATTATAATAGTTTGTAACATACCTGTACACATCATTTGGTGTTTGAACATTATTTAGTCTGCAATTATTAATTTTAACCTTGAGAGTGTTATTATAATAAAATGAATAGTTTTCATTCTCTGAAAGTTAAAGCTTTGTTGCTAAAACTTTTTTCTCTACCATTTTATGCTTGTATATTAATTATTTGCGACATTGAAGGAACTGGAAGGTGTTGTTGCTGCCTAATACAAACTAATATCGAAGAGGTAAGAGTGGTTACGCATTTCCCCCCACTTTCCCCCTCCCCCTCGCCCCCCTTCCCCTCACACCTACAATAATTCAGTTGGTTATTACCGTTAACATGAAAGGTCAAGCCAGGTCGCTTGTTTCCATTACCACTAACTCACATGCAAATACCTATTTTAAGAGTTAATTTTGGGACTTAGAATCTCGGTGGTGTCCCATCTTCAGTCTATGTACCTATTTGTAGACTTTGTCTTTTAATGACTTTATAGACATAGCTGCTATTACAATTGATAGTCACTGTTTTCGTCCAGAGTTTCCAGAAAACGTTGCTGCATTCTCACAAACACATAACTAACATTATGTCAGAGTGAACTTAGTGTCAGCACTGGCCCAAGTGTGTATCGGCTGTGTTCTGTAGAGTGGCATTGTAACTTAGTCTCTGGAAGCATGTATCTTATGTGGATGGACTCAGTTCTTATGTGAAATGCTTTCTTGGTGTTAACTTCCATTCACTTTGGGTGTTAACTTTACTTAAGTTTAGTGTATTCCACTCTGTTTCTGCACTGACTGGTGTGAACTCTGTTTCTGTTTACAAATTGAATGGCCTTGATATTTTCCCAGCTTTGTGGACCTGGTCTTGTCTAGGTTTGAATGGACTTTTTCTCCGAAATCCTTTCCCGATGTTAACACTATATTTTGTGGACACAGTCTTTACCCAGTAGGTATCTCCAAACTTCTATACATGTGGGTCTTTATATTTTATATATTCTGTCTTGTAACAAATATTTTTTCTTCAAACTGTAACTATATGATTGTATAAAAGATCTTTACTCAGTAAAGATAGTCGCGTCTTGCACTTGTTTTACCAGATTCCTGGACTGTAAGATCTTCGGGTTAAGCCTTTAGATGACTTGCCTTCAGCATAACCTTTTTTGGTTGCAGAAGCAAGCACGTCACGTGTAGTAGTAGAAATATTGACAGTAATAAATATGAATAGTGGTCATTATTATATTTCAATAATACTGCTGTTGGGATTTGTAATGATAAAGTACAAGAGTTTGTAAGATAGTTTAAGGCAGGAGGAAGATTAGTGAGGATAAGGTGAAGTAAAAAAATGTTTAACCCGGCAGTCACTTACACTCTTGTTGCTGGGTTGAAGGACTACGACCGCCCTGAGGGTCGTATGCGCTCTACATCCTCGTCCATGTTGTTGGGTTGAAGGATGGGACGGCCCTAGGGGCGGCATCACTCTAGGATATAATGTGGATGATCTAGGTGGAAATCCGGCGCATTGTCCTGCCTACACACTCATGTTGATGTGTATCGCAGCCTCTCTATTTACTGAGTGGTACCTCCATGTGTCTCCACCAGTGGTGTCCCAGGCCTCCAGGATGTAAACACTGACACTCTTCTGTTTGCTTGTTAATGTCTATGGAGCCACATCTGCTCTTTATTTGTTCTTCGGGTAGATGCTGGTGTTTATGTAACCTTTTTAGTTTTTGTACTTATTTATTTCAACATAAACATTATTATTTATGGGTTTGTATAAACATTTTCTTATATTTATATAAATAACTCATCAATATATCAGCGTTTTGTTCTGAAAATGTTAAACTTAACGGAACGTTATACCTGCGGGATATACACGCCGTGACGTGTATGTCTTTCATCGTATACATGTTACGAGCTTAATTGCTATTCCAGGTATTAAAGTATTCTTGTCTGGTGGTGATCAGGTTACATGAAGTCCTAATGACCCTCATGTAGTCAATAGGTTTTTAAATCCCATTAATCAACCAACCTCATATCTCTTCTCCCTTCCTCCCTTTTATTATATCTCCTCCAGGTCTAGATATTAACCTGGAGGCTGTGTCTGCACCTCGTCTCCACACCAACATCAAACATACCTTAATAAAAAAAAATAATAGGAATTAAAGTAAATTTTCAGAGTATATGCACTAAGAAATACATAACTGTTGGTGTATAAACACTGAGAGATACACATCCTTAGTGTGTATATAGCATATATACCGTATATATCGTATACATCTGTGTTTATAAGTAAAACTTGCGATTTTGGCTTAAATAGAAGCGCACTTCTTGCCGAATAAGGCAAGCGAAAATTTGTGTAAGCAATAATTTCACAAAAATCATTCTGAATCTAACGGAAAAAATATATTTCATTGCGTCTGTTTATTATTAATTTACTGTAAACTTACATAAAATATATTTAGTTGGATTAGGCTAAATTAAATTGTGCTTGTTATAATAAGGTTAAGTAAGTTTTCTAAGGTTCTTTTGGCACAAAATCATTAATGTTTATATTAACATCAATGAAAAAAAATTATATCTTTAAACGTATAAGAGAAAATTTTAGAAAAGACTTAATTTTAAATGAGTTCTTGCTAACTGACCAGTTTTACTTGTTCGGCACGACATATACGTATATATATATATATATATATATATATATATATATATATATATATATATATATATATATATATATATATATATATATATATATATATATATATATATATATAATATATATACATATCTTGGTGTATATATAGTGAGATACCCCTCTGTGTATATACACAGGTTGATTCTTACCTATCGGTGTATATATAATGAAATACCTCATTGTGTATATGTGCTGCGAGATACATACCTGTCAGTATATAAAGTGAAAAATATTTCCTACATTCCTCTGTATATACTGACAGAGGTATACACATCTCGGCATATATACACTGAGATATAAACACCTCTGGGTATATACACCCATACACCTCTGTGTATATATAACATATGCATACGTCTGTGTATACATACACAGAGATACATACCTCTGTATATGTACACCCGGTGATACACATTTCCCTGCTAGATTAGGTAAGGTTCGTCAGGAAACAGGACAAGTGTTTCCTGACACGGGTCTTAGATGATGACCCGCCGCTGGAGCTTTTCGTCATCTGATCGAGGCCTTCCGCTTTAAAACTTATGGTCATTTCCCTGCGTATGTACACTAAGAGATACACACCTCTCTGTGTATGTACACTGAGACATCCAGGACTTAAAGACCACCATTACAGCGATGATCTTAGCTCTGACTTCAACGCTTGTAATCACTTGGGGAACTTGTTGTCGATGGGAACTTCCTTGTCATCGATGTTTATCGTCTCTTAGAATACTCGTAGATGAAGGTATGTTCCTTGCTGTTGATGTTCATAGGTTCTTACGGTACTTGCATACGCAGTGAAGTTTCTTGCTGTCGATGTTTATGGGTTCCTGGGGTACTCGCAGACGAAGCGAAGTTCCTTGCCGCAGTAGGCACTGTTGAGGGACAGTTTAGACACTGTGAGGCAGCTCTCGATTCCAACGGGCCCTGAGGGCCTGCCCTTATGCCAGCCGTGGTCCACTACCGCTCCAGAGAGCCAATGCCACAGTGCAGATTCTTCCTGCAAGGGAACGCCAGTGTCACTTCTGAAGGAAGTATCCGGCGTTGACACCTCCTGCTTCTCCTCTCCCCCTACCCACAGCTCATCCGCCTCCTCTCCTGCAGGGATAGGTAACTGGTCATTATAAGCAACGAAGGATGGTTGTTATAGGTATATGTTATATATCTTTAATGGTATCACCGTCCTTCTGGTCTCAGACCATGCCTCGTGGTGATATCTTCAAGCAGGCACTGGACAAGCACCTAAAGTCGGTACCTGACCAGCCGGGCTGTGGCTCGTACGTTGGATTGCCTGCAGCCAGCAGTAACAGCCTGGTTGATCAGGCCCTGATACACCATGAGGCCTGGTCACAGACCGGGCCACGGGGGCGTTGACCCCCGAAACTCTCTCCAGGTAATGTATATATACATACTATATATATATATAATAATATATATATATATATATATATATATATATATATATATATATATATATTTTATATATATATTTTATATATATATATATATGCAATAAGATCACAGTAAACAGGTGATTTCAGAATATGCAAAACAACCACTCTGAAAGAATAGAGAAATTCCAAGTGCTTTCGTGACTACTCACATTATCAAGGAACTATGAAAGTAAAGCATCCAAGGAAGCTATATAAGGGGTCTGGCCAACACCTCACTATCGGATCCCACAACGGTTAAACACCTGACGTGCGCCGGCCCAACTGAACAGGTCCTTTGCACAACTCACCAACAAACTATTCTACCCAAAAATTTAAAAATTATTATTTGTCCAGTGTATTATTAAATTCTTCCCAATTCTATTAATTATAAATGGATCTAATTTATATAAACCAAAGAAATATTCATATTATTGTCAAAACTGCTTTTTATGAAAAAAGATTCAATTATATTCCTGGCGACCATGGACTTGCTTGATACTACTTTCTCAACTTTTTGAAAATCAATTGATGGTTAAAATCTCTTACAAAGAATAAATAGAGCATTGGAATCTTGTCCAGTTCTAATGCTATATTTATGTTGTTTTAATCTTAGTTCGAGATTTTTCCCAGTTTGACCGTAATAAACTTTATCGCAAATTTTACAAGGAATCTTATAGACACATCCATCAGCATTTTGGGGGGAATTCTTTATCAAAATTTTTTTTTTTACTGTATCAAGATTTTTGAATACAACTTTAAATATTAAAAGTCTTAAGAAGAGAAGGCATATCAACCAAGTTTTCATGGTAAGGGAGAACCAACATATTTTTAGTAGAATAAGGCTGGTTGTCCCTTTTTGGATTGTAAAAAGTATTTCTAGCAACTTTAAAAGATTATCAATTACATTTCTTGGGTATTTTAAATCATTACCTATTTCATAAATTTTTGGATATTTCCTCGTCTATGAACTCAGGACTACAAATTCGTAAAGCTCTCAAAAACATTGATGAGAAAACAGACAGTTTGACTTTATCTTGATGCGAGGAATAATAGTGGACATAGGAACAGTTATTTGTAGGTTTTCTGTAAATTTTAAATTTGAATTCATTATTACCCTTAATAATTAAAACATCTAGAAAAGGCAATGAGTTATTTT